AGTGGAGAGCTTGTAGTGAAAGGAGGTGGACTTGAGTTGGATCCTAGGAACCCATGACCAAACTGGTCATGGCATCACGCATCTGTAACCCAGCACTGGAGTGGAGGTGAAGAGAGCAGGATCCTGGGGGCACACTGACCAACCAGATTAGTCTCAAATGGTAAGTTCAGGTTCAGTGTTAGGCACTGTCTCAAATATACGTTGGCGAGAGATAGAGGAAGACACCTGAAATTCTTATTTTACTTTTATGTCAGTCCATCCAGGTGAGCACACCTGCATAATATGTCCACATATATTCATAACACACACATACACACACAGACACACAGACACACACACACACACACCCTACCTGTTTGGCAGATAATATTTGAGTTATCTCAATTTTGACAAAACCAAAGTGAGTGCTAATTTTTCGTAATACAATAGGGGGTGCCGAAGAGTTAGTTCAGCTGTTAGAGCATTTGCTGCCTTTTGCAGAGGACTGGAGTTCAGTTTCCAGCAGCTGTGTTCAGCAGCTCCATGCGGCTTCTGCCAATTTCTAGCCTTGGTGGCCATCTGTACTCACCTGCACAGGTCTGTCACAGATGCACACATATATAATCATAATGCATATATAATTAAAAATAAAATGCACTTTTAAGATAACAATAGGTAGACACAATTTCTAAAATATATATTATTTTGCTTTTCTGTCCTAATATGTAAACAATATTTCTGTTTTTTAAACATTTATTGCCTAAAACTAAAGTTGTGTGTGTGTGTGTGTGTCTGTCTGTGTGTCTGTGTGTGTTTGTATGGGGGATAGTACTTAAGAGTGCAAGATGAGGAAAATGAACTCACAAGTTTTTAAATTTTCATCAATCTAAATGAATATAAAATTCACTTCTATAAAAATCATAGGGTTATATAAAACAGATGACAGACATATAGTCTAGATTTTCAGAAAACTGCAAAATACATGTGGGTCAAATCAATGAGAGCTAAAGTCAGAATGGGTCTATGGACCGGGCTGGAGAGCTCAGTGGGAAATGTATACAGCTGTGTGCTGCAGGAAAGAAGTGATACCGAATGGAAGAATGACAAATGAGCAAAGAATCTGGGTAGATGAGAAGGCACCTATCCCAAAAAGTTCTTGGTACTTTGGATTTGATCCCATATACAGATGAAACACAAGGAGGTCCTTTTAAACAGTGATGTCAAATTATAAACTACTTATGAAACTGCTTCAAACTTCCCTGCTGGTGAATATTTTAGTTTTTCTTATCTTTAGGTCTCATCGCTAGAGCAGTCCTACCATTCTTTCTCATTTTTTCTGTACCTTTTCTTGGTGACTGCTTACACACATCTTGATTCATGATTATAATGGTGAATATTTCCTATTCACACTCATGTATACATATTCATGGATACATATCTAAGATACAAAATTAGATATTGAACTTTTCTTATAATAAAAACACCATACATATCATTATTATAATGTAAATTTAATTTCTGTTAGTTCAAAGTAGAATAATTATTAGCTGAATAGTTGAGAAAGTATTTTTGCAATGTAATAGAATTTAAACTGATCTAAGTTTTTTGTTGTTCTTGTGGTGGTGGTGTGTGTAGGTGTGTGTGGCATTTGTGCATGTGTGTATGTTTGCATGTGTGTATGTATGATACAGGAGATTGCCAGTGCCCTGCTCTATCACACTCCATTGTATTCATCTGAGACAGGTTCTCTTACTGAGGATGGAGGGAGACTAGCAGTTTGTAAGCCCCGGTGCTCTTCCTGCGTCTCCCCCAAACAGTTCTAGAGTTACAGATTCTAGAACTTTGCAGCTAAGCTCACCTGCTTATATGGATGCTGGGATCTGAACTCAGGTCCGCATGCTTGCATAGACAGCAGCCGTACTCTCTGAGCCATCTCTTCAGTTCCTAAACTGAGGATAATACCAAGCAAATTTTCCTTAACAAGACTCAATTCAATGGGAAATGTCTTTTTCTTTGTAGTTTCTGAAAATGACAGATTTTCATGCTCACAATGGAAATACAAAGCACTCAAACTCACCGGCTGCAGAAAATGATCAAGATCTTTCAGGCATAACAAATAACAGCCCCACAGAGAAGAGCACAGCTTCTTGTGTCAAGGAACTGAGTTGCATCACGTCTAAAGGCATTGGTGCAGTAATTGTGCAGAATTTCCAATGCACTGCATTGTATAAAGACCATGTAAAAATAGAAACATTTATTCTCTTGAATTATGAACCTTTGGGTGCATAAATATTTTCTCATTCAATCTACCAAATCAGTACCTAAAATCATTTCCATGATACAACTAAGAATCTTTCTACTTCGTCCTCTTAAAAGTCAAAAATTCACAAAGTTAGGAAACATGAAATGATGTTTTATAAAAATTATATCACTTTGTTGCTCCAAGTAAGAAGTGTAAATTTAGAAAAATCGTAATTACTTCTAGACAGTTTACCCAGTTTTTGAATGTGATAAAAAATCATTGTAAAACACCAGTGCACTGGGTTGTATTTGAAAGGCAGGGTCTTCATGCAAATTTGACACAGCAAACACAGAAACAAAAGACAAGTTGCTCTATGTTCATTTTGCAAATCTGAAGACTAAAATCCAAGCCAATACCAGATTTAATGAAAGGATTTATTAAGTACTCTGTACAACTTTCAGTACACAGTAGGTGCTAATGAAGTTTCTGTTCAAAGGTGGGTGGTTCTGAAATCACAAACTGTGGAAGTATTAAAATATCTCCCTAGATTTTATTCCTCATATATTGGAATAGAAATTGAAGCAGGTTTGGCTCCCTGAAAAAGAAATCCATGAATTATTTATAATTGAAGACAAACCATAAAAAGGAATAACAGGGCACAAATATCCATAATTTGGTCATTTGCAATGGAAGCAGAGCATCAGATCTGTCTGATTAAAATTAAAAGTGCTGTTATGAAGTTAGCACATGAATAAAGAAAAAGCCTAGTGAGTGTGTTAATGTGCTATATATAGATGTTAGCCAGTGTTGCTATCAATATGCTGGGACCAGCTTAGGCCTTCGGTTGCTTAGCTAGAGACCTAGTTAGCTCAGATATTACACAAAAGAACTGACTCTCAGTGAACCACTACCAGTTGTGGGAAGTTCTGTTGGATAGGAATAATCATGACATTAATATCCTAGAAACATCCATGACCCAGATAGATAAACTATAGATTTTTCCAAGCCAGAGGAATTTCATTATACAGTGAGAGAACTAAGAGGTCAAAAAAAATTGATCATAGCTTGTAACTGACCAGCAGACCAGCTCCTAATACTCAGTGTGACCATTCTTTCCCAATACACAGGGTGATGAAATAACAGCAACGTGTCCTGAAACCACAGAGGGCAGTGTGTGGAAACAGGGAGAAGACAGAAGAAGAAATCTACCCCTTTAGAAGATGGACTCACCTTGACCATGATTACTGAAGACATCAGATGGAAAGAATGAAGCACAGCCGTTATGGAAACGGGAAATCGGCAAATCGACACATTAAAATCAGCAAAGAGTGACTTGTTGTGTAAGCGACTGTCCACATGTCAGTAGATATAAACGTGTGGAATTGGGCTGGAGAGATGGCTCAGGGGTTAAGACCACTGGCTGCTCTTCCAGAGGTCCTGAGTTCAATTCCCAGCAACCACATGGTGGCTCACAACCATCAATGATGAAATCTGGTGCCTTCTTCTGGTGTGCAGGCACACATGCAGGCAGAATGCTGTGTACATAGTAAATAAATAAATATTTTTAAAAAAAAAACGTGTGGAATTATCTGGTTTCATGAATTCCACATAAATAATTCCACAAGGCAATTCTACCCCACTCTCTATGAATTAGCCCCTTACTAAACAGAGGTCTAAACACTGGCATGGAAGCTGTGAAAGATTTGAGGGTAGGGAAATAAATGTCATTAGTTGTCACAGGGACTAGGGATGGTGTTCCTGGGAGGCAGACCTTTAAGAGAGACTGGATAGACTGAATGAAAAGATTTTATGCAGCCTACAACAGTTCACTATATTAAATCTTCCCTTTGAGAATGTGACAAAACTTCTATAGTACCGAAAAATAGCCAGATCTAGGTAAAACTGTCCACCTGGTGTGAGTTGTGTAACCCCTTTTCAAATCTGAGGAGTGTCCTTCTGAAAAGTCATCAAAAAAAAAAAAAAAAAAAAAAAAAAGTCCTGATGGATTCTCCTTCCTGCTCTAGCAGGATCCTACATGAAAGCAGAGGTGGGCTTTAGTAACCTAGTCCTCTGTTTCTTTCAGAGTCTCTGTGGGAAAGGAAGGCAGGCAGGCAAAGTGGAGCTGAATTCCAAAGGCCCGGAGCTCTGTCTCTGCTGTGCTCCTTCTATTCCTGTAGCTTCTGACCTCCAATAAAGATGTTCTAACATCAGCAGCAGCAGCAGTAGAAACAACAACCACAGCCACCATTGGTGAGCATCCAGTGAGGCTGGATATAGCATGAATGAATACTTAGCTGGGCTGAATATTGCATGAATGAACGTCTAGCTTGGTTGAATATTGCATGATGCACTTGACATCACCCTTGTCTTTACTAACTTGTGCAAGTTACTTAATTTTCGGTTTCAGCTTCTAAATTCACAAATTATAAATATTAATAGCATCTACTTTTGATTGTCAAATGAGTTAATACTAGAAACATGTTTAAAATATTACTGGGCATGTTGTAATAAATTCTTATTTTTTCATATACTTTTCAAAGCAAAATTTTAAAACTAATAGTTGTATATTTATTCCCAAATTTACAGATAAGCATATTGAGATGCAAGAAATAAAGGCGTTAACGAGCATGCTTAAGACTGTAGAGCTAGTAAGAGACAGAACAAGGGCTTAGACCTTCAATTTTTTTTTTTTTTAGCTACTCCATCATGCGGGGGGGGGGGGGGGGGTTCAGCTCCACTCACACCACATACACATTTTTGATTTTGATTAGTTTTCTGTTGGGCACATCAGGGGTTTTCACATGTCTCCTTCCTTTGCCCATCTTGTTACACCTCTGTCTGAATAGCTTTATTAGCTTTGTTGAGCCAATGAAATTAAAATTACCCCGCAAGGCCTGTTGAGCTGCCACTTTTCTCTCACCTCCCCACTCCCACCTTCGCAGAGTTAATTGCTCGCCTGTGTTGTTCTCTAGCACTTATCTCACTGTCTCCCTTACAGCACTTATCACATTGTCTCATTCTCTGGCGGTGGCTTCAGCGTGAGATGACGAACCTCCTTGCGGTATAAAGTAAAGTTGATTTAAAATGGGGACTCACAGGAATGCCCTCACGGAGTCTTCTCAATGGCTCTAGAATTCGCACACTATTGTAATTCCATCTCTGTTGTTAAGGCAGAAAGGCCAAGTTATTTGATAGAGAGTCTATTTAAAATGGAGGCATAATGAATTGCTATCACATTAATGTTATGTTTCCAGACACAAATGTTTAGTGTAAAGGATAGTAAAGTCATTTTCACAGGAGAAAAAAAAATCAACATTAAATTAAACATTTGTTGACGGAAGACAAAGGAACAAATTCTGCTTCATCTATTTAACTGCTTCTTCTTTTTTTGTCTATAAAAAAAGAAGCACCTGATTCGTTGTGAATAGTACAAGCCCAATTTTTACTCCATCTTCAACATGTTTTGTAGTATAATCCCCCTTGCCAGTGGTATAGTGGTACCTTTCTTCCTCATTCTTGAGTACCACATAACTACTTCAGTATTTTACTATCCAAAACTTCATAAAACAAGTCCTGAATTGCAATATCAGCTTTAATATTTCTGACAAGAATATAATATTTCCCACAATCAGAGAATGATGTGTCCTTAGGTATCAGAAGGAGCTGGGAGCTGGCTGTGAAGACCAGGTGTGAATGGCTCCATCCTCCCACTGACCTGTGGTTTCCCGGAGGCACTTTTAGGGCAAGGCATTCTCCTAGCTGTCCCCATTTCTGGAGCATTAGAAGACCTACTGCTTGATCAACTTTCTGGCTTGGGGAGAGGAAACTGGCTTTAAAAGCCTTTTAACCCAAAGGGTTTGGACGGATAATAGACAACATCCTTTGGCAAAATGAGATGGTGAAAAATCTCCTTCCTTGTTTAAAAACAAGGCTTTACTTATGTAACATTTTATAATGTTAAAGGCTTTTGGTTTTACTATTTATTTTTGGAATCTGTCACATTGCATCACAAGACAAACTATTTGTGAGTCTGGTTCACCCCAAACCTCCCCTATGTTTCTTGTTTTTTTCTACACTTTTAACTTACTTGCCATCTACAAATGGTATCTTCATTTTATTCTAAGCACTGTGCAGGCTATGGATTCACACCTCAATATTGAGCAATTCTATCATTTTAATGGGATGTAAATAAAGTTTCTGAAGGTCTAGAAAAGTCACAAAATCAATGGCATGTCTATAATTGCAAAGGACAATAAAATTCCACTAATAAACAGATAATAGAACTTATAACATCTATTCAAAATATTCATAAACTCTATCACCAAACACAAAACTAATATATCTTTTTTTTTCATGGAAAAACAAACTCACAAGACTTGGGAACAATAAATAACTCACAGATCACAAACTTAATCTTGATTTTAGCACTGTTTGAAGCATGTCATTATTTAGGGCCCCCCTTTTTCTGTTTAGTATGGGATTAAAATAAGGTGGAATTTTGTGTATAAACAAGTTACAGTATATGCTACCTATGGGATGAGACAGAATAAAAACTCAAATTTGTCTAATGGTGAATATGGAGAAGTGGGTTCTATTAACAACTTCCCAGTAGCAATCTCAGGTGCAGCCAGTTCAGCAATTAAAGGACATAGAGGAAAGCCTTATATCTGCATAATTATGAGAATGTTCCATTGTACTTTTAAGAGTAATAACTGCTGGAGGCCAAACCAATTTTTCAGCTATAAGACGCTCAGGAGTTGTATTTTCACCCCAATAAGGAGCAGTAGAAGTCTTAAAAGGGTGGCAGACTTTAATAATAAAATACACCTCATTTCATATATTATTTCCTGGTTGGCACCAGGAAAGACCCCCTGATCACTAAGATGCACGGGCACAAGTCTGTCATTTGATTGTATTTTACCCAGATATTTTTATGATAAGTTGAGAGAAGTATGACTCTAGCAGAAAAGATTCACCTCCAAGTCTCTTGAAGGAATTGAATTATCTCTTGTGGAAGTAAACAGTTAGGACACAGAGGGGTGAGGAGAGATTTGACATGTAGGTTTCTCTGTGACTTTACACAAACTGTGAGCAACATGGGAGCTATTTCCAAAACACAGCATGGTGATTCATCTAAGCATGAGTGGCAAGGTCCTGACATTTTCATTAAGAAATACAGCAAAAGGTGCCTCCAGAGTTGAGTGAGTACGATATATAAAAGATTCCAAGGCAAACCAGGAGATAAGGCATTAGAGAGGAAGTGGAAACAAACTTAATTTGTGTCATTAATTCCGACCTCACCCTAGGCATATTTGTTTTCTTAGCACCCACAACTCACCATTGCCATTACTCCATAGCTGTTGAGTCTTTCCCACTTGACTAAGCTCAAGGAAAGCTCATTCGGTCCTGTTTTTCACAATCCTCACAGCATGAAGCCGGGGCCTAGGATAAATTTACTGAACAAATGATGAAATGAGCAAACTACTCAGGTAAGCATCCATAGAAATGTAGATGATTGGGAAAGAGGCCATATCCACGTGTTAAAAATGACAAATCAGTCGATTCTATAGGGAACAGTGCTGTTGAAATATAATGAGCTAATGTCTGAAGAAGATAGTCTATTTATTTTCCTATTCGCAATGAATGTTTTTCAGCTGTAATTAATTTTGTCTTTCCCATCAAGCCTATGTAGAAAACCAGGCAAGCTACTCACCTCTGTCTGCCTTAGTTAATATCTGCATGGGATTCCACAGTCACAAACATACAAATCCACTGTGTATAAAAGGAACCAGATGAGCGAGTACAGGCATATCCACTGAAAAACATTGCCACTACGATGGAAAACAATGTGAAGACTGTTCAACTCTGTAGTGTAAAGAGTCCAAGGGGAACCCATTATTTATTGATGATGAGATTTTCTCAGTGGGAAGTTGGACTCCCCAGTAAGGATATATTTTTATGGATTGAAGATTAGTAAAAATTTCAAGTAAATTATTAACTGTTTTTTATTGACTATTGAAATAGTTGCCATAATAGATAATATGTTTTGGTCATAAAGACACAGACTTATTTTTATGATTACTATTATTATGTGTTGATTTACAAACTTGATTGTTAACTGGAGCTGTTTCTGATCCGCTGCTTCAGCCTTTACCTATAAATGCCAAGATGACCAAGAGTGACAGTCACCAACTCCCTGGATTAGTCACTTATACCAATTGACTTGTTAGTCCAAGTAACTAGGTAGTCAGGCAAATTCATTTGCTTTTCTCTTCCTTCCTATTGCCCCCCCCACTCTTAACACACATCTATTTACTTATAAATAATAGAAGTATGGATTAGTGAAACCTATGTTCACTGGCCTTAAGAGCATTACTGAAATTTCTGATTGATATTTGAAACTTTATGCAAAGTTTTTCATGAAGAGAATCTATGTCATGTCTTTCCTATAAATTTTGAGATGGAAACATGTTAGGAGACCATGTTTGGGCAACATTGTCTTTATTGTGTTTTGGTAATAGTTTTGTTATGAACAAGGAGCTTTTATTGCTATATCTACCTCACTGCTGTTCACTGAACTTTGTCTCAGGTCAAATAAGCTTTGGTGTAGAAATGAGGTTAGAATACTCACTAATCATGGCTTCAGCAAAACTGAGTCGTTGCATAGACCATCGAAAACATTCAATTTTTTGTTTTTTTCTATTTATATTAAAAATTCTGTTTATAGAAGTATTATATCAATAAGAAATTCTGTTTCATGAGGTTCTTAAGCTTATTTTCCAAATACAAGTACAAAACAAAACAAACAAACAAAAATCCCTCCAGAAACAAACAAAACAATGGAAAGCCAATAGAACTAATAACAGTTTTCTCTGGCTTTGTCATATGTTTCTGCAAACCATCTAACAAGTCATAGATTTGGAACTCAAATTCAACTGTATGCTAAAGTGTAATCATTATATTAAAATTCCAAACCAAATAATTAGGCATGTATTTGTTTATAAATACTACTGCCACATAAGAATAAGTAAAGGGATGGATTCAAAAAGTTACCCAAAAATGCTTTAGAAATATTAAGTCAGCTTTCTGCTGTCAGTCATATATTTCCAGTTGCAGAATATGGTAACTACAAAAAATAAAAAAAAACATAATAAAGCTATTTTTTTTCTAAATTGTGCTTGTTTGCTAGATTAAAGAAAGTTATATGCCAAAAATGTAAAATTTATTCCACGAAAATTAACAGGCTACACAGATAAATTTTGGCAAATGCAACTTTATATTGAAGTTCACACATCTGTATCTTAAAGAATGAGACTCACAGAATCTAATGTACTTCTAAAATACCAGAAATCATATTATAAGCTTTCACAAGTTAAAACTGAAAATATTTAAGCGACCAATACACCGAATGTGCAGAAAGTATAAACAAGACTGTGCCTTCCATAGAATAAATGCTCCACAACTTGTGCCAGGTGTCATCTAAGGCTGTAGGCTCCCCTTGACAGCTGACTTCTAATATAAACAGTTATCAACTGTCCGCTTCTCAGAGCACACTAGGATGGGTAGCACACCCCAGGAGGAAATTTCATTATCCCAGTGATGTGCACCTTCATTTTCAAACCATGTGAGGAAAAATGGAAAAATATTCAATGCTCTCCCATGCACTTCCTGATAAACAGCCAGGGCCAGTCACTGATTCAATGCCTCTTGACTATTTGCTCCACTGCTAAAGAATATGAAGGATACTAGATAACCCTTTAAGGCAACACGTGTTTATTCTGTATCATTAGAACTGAGCATCTGTGGCCAGTTGATACCATTCATGTTGCCTCCCAGACAGATATCTAGCATTTGTAAAATAGAAACAAACTGGAAACTCTTTTACTGAATGAACAGAAAACACATGATACAGTTCAATGCTAGCAATTTCACTGGTAGGGAAGGAAAGTGGCATTTAGAAATAGCAATATATTAATACAAAAAAGGTAAACTCTAATTGGACCCGAGATACTGCTTTGGAATGCTCCCCCAAACTTACAAGGCGTGTTTAAAGTGTTGTACCCCAATAATTCATGGCACATCTTTAGAGGATTACAGTACTGTTAGTTCCCCCAGTAGTGAAGTCTTTGCAAAACAAAAATAGTATGAAATGTTTTAAAGTCTTCAAACTTCTAAAATTAGCTTTTATCAACACATTTACCTCATGTCAACTTAATTTATTAAAAGGTCCAATGCTAATTGTTTTTAAGGTTTTTTTTTTCATATGTAATGATATACACAGCATTTAGCACTGATACTTAGCACCTGCTACGTTCATTATCTAGTGTTCAACCACAGAAAGAAACTTAGGGCAGTGGTTCTGTCCTTTCTTAATTACAAACCTTCAGCGGCAGTCAGCAGGATCACTCTGAGATTTAAAATAGGATTATAGGTGAACTATTGCAAAGACTGCAGAAGGTTGCCCAAATCCTTATAACTGCTGATCCCATCCTTGATTTTCTTCTCAAGACATGGCTACAGGCCACAATTGCTTAGCAGAGAGGGTTAGTGTTTCACAAGGCTAAAGATTTACAGATGCTCCCTCATATAACACAGTAAGGTTCCCTTGGTAACCTGGATTTTCTGCAGTAAAGAAGGGTTGTACTGAAACAGCGCCTCAGCTCCCTGTTGGAGAAAATGCAGACAAAGGGATTGATTCCTGCTTGGGCAAAACTCATCCAGACGGCAGCCGTTAGAAATCCCCCTGGTACTACAGGGCCTCTTGCAAAAACTCTCCAATAGCAGGCCACCAGGTAGGGGCCCCACAAGGTTAGGAAGAGAAAAGTCATAATATAGAACATTCTGCTGATTCGTTTCTCCATTTTGAACTCATCTAAGACCAGCAGCCGTCTTCTGCCTGTGGTATTTGCATTTTGCCTGATGCCCAGCAAGGTGGGTGGTGTGGGACCCCTTCCAAATCCTGCTAGCCAGTTGGCAGCTGCCTGGCCACTGGCTCCAGGGCCATGAAAGGTCCAGTTCTGGCTGACGGCTGCTACAAACTGGACTGGCTTCATTTTCCTTCGATCGTGGACAAAAAATATCAGCTTGAGGTAGACAAGCTGTGTGGCTAGGAGGATGAGAGCGAGGAGCAGCATAAATCCTAGGGAATCGTTAGCCCTGAAGGAGCGGTGTTGGAAGGTGCACTGATCCTCCTCCCTAATGAACGAGTACGTGCCCACGTCTAAAACCGGGGGGAATGCCATGGCCACAGACAGAGTCCACACCATGCAGATCACAGCCAAACACGTCCAAAAGGTCAGCCTCTTTGTATAGAAGCGGTGATGGGCGATAGCTAGGTATCTGGTAACGCTGATGCAGAAGAGCATGAAGGCGGTGTGGAAACAGGACAACACCCCCAGAAAGGCAATCACTTTGCAAGTCAGAGTCCCATAAGTCCAGGAAGAGCCATTTTTGACAGAGTTGAATACAAATGGAAAACAAATTGCAGATCTGAGGATGTCTGAACAGCACAGATCCAGCAGGAAGTAGTAAGGAGCTCTGTGCAAGGTCTTATCTTTCACTAGCAAAATGGAGATCAGAAGGTTGCCCACCACGCTGACTCCTATTATGAAACCCAAGGAAGTCAGTTTCAGAAAGGCTGTTAGAGGCGAGAGATTTTGCAAAATGTTGTCAGCTGCATGGCTATAGTTCGCCATAGATGGATGGAGGATAAGGAAACAGCCTCAGTCAAGTCTCATGATCTAGATATAAGAACAAGGAAAAGCTAGATCCATACATTTTACTAACAATGTAATCCACAAAGAGATCTGATCCAATCTGTGGTCATGCTTCCTCTTTCCTTCCGTTTGATTTGCCATCAGAATATCTGAGGAAGAAAAAAAGAGAACTATCAGTTCTTAAGTTAATAAGCCATGCTGTTGGGGCTAGCATGAAGCTAGCCCTTTACGAGGAAGTACATGAAGTTTCCAATTTAAACACTTCTGTTTGCTTCAGCAGTTGTTTATTTGGGATGTCAGGGCACTAGCTGCATTAGTGTCTGAAGCTAGGTGAACATGCCAATGTCCTTATTCTAGACATCTATAGTTAGATTTGGGCACCTTCAAGAGGGAAGGGAATAAATGGTCTCACAGTTGTAAAATATGCCAGCCCCAAAATTAATCACTAGCCTTGCAGTGGAATCTGCAAGATTATTGATAGGAGACAGAGAGGAGGCTGCCCACAATTATTTGGGCTCTTCTGGTACCATCAGTATTTTAAAGGAAGCTTCTCTGAGAACCTCTGCAAAATGTACCTTTTAAGTCAAGTGTCACCGTTCATGCTGCATAAGAGTATTTGTTGATTCATCTTGAGGCATGACTTCAACACCAGACTTCAAAATGAATAAAAACCTGTCCCAAGATTTTTAATGTAATATAATCTTTTGTCTTTCTCGCCCTACCCCACCCCCCCCTTTTTGTCAAATCTTGTCTCTTTTAAGCCTAACCATTATTAAAAATGGTTAATGTAAATATCGGCCAGGGAAACACACCCAGAGGAATAATGCACTTCCATTTGCAAACCTTGGCTGCCTGAATTCAAATGAATATAACATGAACCGGTATTTCTCAGGCAATCAAGCCGTTCTCATTTACACTGATAATCTTTGCTGCTAATCACAAGTGGCTTTATTTTCAAACAAAATGCACATTGTCTCCTAGGTGCCCGGGAGCCACACCAGGGAAATCAGCTTCCTCTGTTATTCCCACGAAGCGAATATCCTTTGCCACTTCTCACTTGCCTGGAATATGCTGATGGAAGCCCAAGCAGAAACTGCAGCCGATGATGTTAATTTTCCAACCGGTGCATCCCCGGGTAAATACCGATCACAAGATGCAACATTACGAAACCTGAAATCCACCACCCCTGGGTTTATAACGGGGGGGGGGGG